CCCACTCACCTTGAAGACCACTTGGGAGTGGGACCAGTGCCCCACATTCTGGTGCCAGTTGCTAGGCTTCCTAAGCTTCCTCACCCCCCCAGAGAAAGATGAGTGTGCTATCTGTCCATTCTGCAGCCCTACAATGCCTAACAATCAGACATGATAGGGAGTCAACTCAAAGCAGGAACTCAGTTAATTACTGTGAATGTCAGCTTATATATATATAGTGACATCTTGTGATATGAGGGTACCTCCAGCCAATGAGAGGCAGCCAAACCCTCCCTCCCTCTGGCCGAAGGGGCGTCTACCTAGTTTTTGCTGTCTCTTCCTCACTCAAACTTGAGCCAGGCTTTTTTTCTCTCTTATAGGCCTCGAGGTACAGGCCCTGAGATGGCAAATAATTTTGGCCCAATAAATTGGTTGCTGCATTAGGAAGGTTGAGAACCACTACTTTGTCATCTTCAGTGATGACTTGTGGTCATCAATTGGTACTGCTTATTTTAGTCATTGAAGATTTTTGTTTCTCCTTCTGCTTCAAAGGATAACTTTGTTGTATATGCATATATGTATTCATAGTAATCTTGGTTGGTAGGTAATTTTTATGTGAAATGCATCAGACATGCTATCTCCTGATTTTAGGTTTTTTTCTGAGAGGTCTGCTGTTCTGGTAGGTTTTTCATTAGATGTGACTTGTACTTCTGCCAGCATTCAGTATTTACTTCCATAGATTTGGGATTTTTTATGCGTTTCTTTTTTTTTGTTTGTTTGTTTATTTTGGTTTTGTTTTTGAGTTTTTTATTTATTTGTTTGTTTTTCAAAATGGGTTTCCTTGTAACTTTGGAACCTGTCCTGGAACTCACTCTGTAGTCCAGGCTGGCCTCAAACTCACAGAGATCCACCTGCCTCTGCCTCATGTCCTGGGATTAAAAGTGCACAACCACTGCTCTACTTTTAATGCCTTCAGTTTTTTTCCTCTCTTAGACTACAAGTGCTTTGGTTTGGTCTCTTTTTGTTGTTATTGTTCTTTTGTTTTGTTTGTTTGTTTGTTTGTTTTTAAAGACAGGGTTTCTCTGTGTAACAGCCCTAGCTGTCTAGTTTAGTCTAACTATTTATTTCTCTGAAGTATTACATGTCGCAATCGTTTTTTAAAATTACTGTTGGAATACACTTTCTTAGAAATTATTCTTCAGCTTTGTCTTCAAGTCTTTATGCTTTTTGTCTTGAATGATTTTTTATGCATATAAAAAGATGTGTTTCTGTATTTATTGTTTTATTTAAATAGACAGAACTGGATAACACATGCTTGATTTTTGCATTTCCTTAATAAATTATAACTGTCATTTCTTTTAGTACCTGTAGGTTTCCTTTAGTTCTTTAGTGCCTATGTGCTGTATGTTAAATTATATGGTTGTTCACATTGGGTAAGATTTTTTTTATTGATGAAAGCTTAGGTTTTTTACAATTACAAACAGTACAGTAGGAATTCTATATAAACCTTTGAACTTTGTGTACTTGTATATATTAATTCCTAAAAATACGATGTAAGAGAATGTTATGAAATTTGACAGCTAAAACCAGATTTCTTCCAAAAAGGTAGAAAATTTTGGTACAATGAGTATTTTTCCATGTTACAGCCCAACGTGCCTTGAAATGTTAAAAATTGTTGTCAATGTATTACAGTTGTAAATATTAAAGTAAATATAACTAGTTTAGTGAGGTTTCTAAAATGAATCTATTGCATATGCTTTATTTATTTAGTTAGTTGTTATTTGGTTTTTTTAGAAGTGTTTCTCTATAGCTGTAGAGCCTGTCCTGAAACTAGCTCTTGTAAACCAGGCTGGCTTTGAACTCACAGAGACCTGCCTGCCTCTAACTCCCGAATGCTGGGATTAAAGTGTGCACCACCCAGTAGGGATTAAAGCCCTACTGCATATAATTTTAATTCCAGTGGCCAGTTACACTTTTTTTGTAAATGTAATAATTGGTTTGAAATAAAAATACTTTGTCCTTTCCAATTTCTGATTATACCAAGAAAGAAAGTAGATATATTTTGAGTCTCCTTTCATGAACAAGAGAAATTTGTGTAAAATTGTTCTGATTTCACTACCTAAATATTTCTCCACTAATAATAATACAGATTCAGCTAAAAAGTTAGGGTTTAATCAGTAAATTTACATAAATGTATATTAGGGTTATAATCTTAGATATTAATGTCATTTCAATGAGAGTAATTTCTAATCTAAAGCTTTAACTTACATACACACACAGAGACTTTTCAATTTTCTGATACATTCTTCAATGAAAATAATATTTTAAACAATTATAAATAGCTTGTGTTTTAGGGGTCTTGGCAATAATTATCTCAGTCCCATGTGCAAAGTAATGGTTAAGATGTGACTACAAAGAAACTCTTTGTAAAGTGCGACATCGTCAATACATATGGGTTCTATATAGAGATTACATATGACACTTTCCATAAAGATGTATTATGTAGATTGACAATCTCATGCCAAGAGTCTGGGGGAGTATTCAGTGTGGTCTCAAGTCAAACAGCGCACAAAACTCCAGGATATTTCCATGTCATATCTTAGCCTTCTGGGCTGATAAGTTGCACATCCCTTTCTTTGAAGAAACTGGGTGTTTAACATTCCTGGTTCTCCAAGTGCTTATCAGTGAGCACATCGACCTCCGGGTCTCCCACACAGTTGGACATGAGAAGTTTCATTCTGTCACTCAAATCTTTTTCTGGTAGAGTAAATGTAAACTTTTTCACTCTTTTAAGGAAAAAAGTAAGTGTTAGTATCCAGCTTTCCTTCATAGGTCTTTGGAGTCTCCTTCCTTTTCCTTGCCTTCCCTTCCCCTTTTTCTCCAAGACTGTCTTAGGTAGCAGAAAAATGATCTTGCAGTACATACTGCAGGCAGTGTTCACTGGATCTCCTTTCATCTCCAGAGTGTTGGCATTGCAAATATGACTCATCATTCTCAGCTATATTTGAAGGATTGATAGACAGTTCAATTCATAATGTTTTTACTCTGTATCAATGTTTATATAATTTAAAAGTTGGTAGTAAAAGAAATTTATATAGTCATGGGTTAGATGTCATTGTTCTCATGAATTATTTGTTGAGTTTTCGAAAATCAGTTTTTATCATACTTGAATGTGAATATTGGGTAGAGGCTTGGCATCATCTTGACCTAGCACATTGTATGTATTATGTGTGTACATGTGCTTGTATGTATGATGGTTCTGTGTTACTTAATGATCAAACCAGTGCAATATAAAAGCAGAAGTTAAATCATATTCAGGATAACTTACAGGTTATAAGATTAATCCCTATGCTTTGTTTACTTTTTAGGTAAAGAGGAGAGGAATAGAAAGTATTCTCCTGAAGAAATCCAACAGAAAAGACAGGAAGCACTGATTCGAAGAAAGGCCAAAACACAGGCGTTGCCTGCTTTGCATTCAGCTTCCATTTCACTGCTTTGATGAAATTGGAGTTAGACGGTTTCACAGCTATTAATAACTATCTATGATAGGACTTTTTTCTTGATTTCTCTGTGAGAAATTTAATGCTGACTAAAAAGCATGGGTTTCTACTTTATTATTTAATAAATCAGTGTTTACTATTATAAATGAAACTTTCTTGGAGCTGTATGTGAATTATGTATAAGTTTTTGAAGAGTTAGCAATTATGTGTCTACAGAGGGAAGTATGTGTCTTTATTACATGATAGCAACTGATCATCAATAATAGACAGCTGTAACGCTTCTAACAGATTAAAATGACTAAACTAACTCTGCTCTGTAGTTTTTTTCAGTTACTTAAGGTTTCTTTATACAGTACAATTTTTAATTAATTTTTCCATAGTCTTAGTGACCTTGCTGAAAAGTAGATAACGTGTATTTAATTTTTTTTTAAAAAAAATATTGTTTTCAGTTGCTAGCCAGAGGTAGGTTTAAATTTTAATATTTCTGAATATGTGATTCAATTTGAAAACATGTCTCCATTAGGAAAAACAGACTAGCGTTAAGTGTAGTTTAGCAAAAAAAAATAAAAAGAAAATAGATTAAGCAAAGTCATAAAACATCATTAACATTAGAATTAACAGAATCATATTGTCTGATCGAGTTCCTTTATCATATAGGTTAAATAGAACAATCCAAGCTGCTCTTTTTCTTTATATTCATGTGTATTTGAGTCAGGGTCTTGCTATGTGGTCCTAACTGGCGTTGAACTCTTGTCATGCAGAAGACTTCAAACACAGTGATTCTCCTGCCTCAGTCTCCCGGTGCTATGAGTACCACTATGCCTAGCTCATGATTTTCCTTTAAAAGTCACAGACAAATCTTTGTTTATGTTAGAATTGATTTTTCTGAACATATAAAGAATTACATAATTTGTTTCAATCTATTAGTACTTAAAATAATTTGAAGGGGCATTAACACTAAAATATAATCCAAAACACATTAAGGACTGCTTATTAACGGTTCTTATATATATTCTTTATTTTAAAGAATTAGCTGATCTTTCCAGGATTCCAAATTAGACTTTCTATTTTCAGTTTTCTTATTACTGTAATTTTCCTTCCAATCAATTATTTAACTTCACTGTTTTTCCCCCCTCTGTCTCTGCCTCCTTTTTGTCTTCTAAAATAGTAATATAAGCCTTAACTAGTGGGGAGAGTATATGACAGTAAGGATGCTTGTGTTTTTCTAAATGGCTTTTAGAAAGGATGAAGAAAAGTTTAGCTATAAAGAGCACCCGTCTTGGTAAGGTGTTCACTACTGTTCAGGTGTCTTTGAGCTGTGACAATCTGATAGTTATTAAGTGTGTACCATTTTTCAGATGATATATAAGTATATTTTAGTTGTTCTTATTATTTACCAAAGAGTATATTATAAAGAGCTAAATAAATGTTGCAAGTTTTGATGCAAACAAGTAAAAAGACTGCTTTTCTCATGAGCCTTCAGTCTGTTCTAAGTCTTCTCTCTCTCTCTCTCTGCTCAAGTTCTCCTGTAACTTCTTTCTGTGGAATGCTTTAAGTCGTTCTGCTGATCTTCTTACACTGGCCTGTTGCATCTGTTTCTTGGGAACGCATACCTGACCTGGCTTCAGCAGGAAGTCATCTCTTTCGTGGAAACTATGAAAGCACTTGTTGATGGTGAATGTGTGCTTCTCCAGCAGGATACCCCTGCCTTCACACTATTCTACTATCCTCATTCTTCAGTTGCTGTTGGAAGCACTAGCATGTGAAAACCTGCCTAGTTTGCATGGGTTGGCACTTTGCCAGTTTCAAGAGACATTATCCACAAAAGTCAAAGGAGCAGCTGGTAGGCCTGGAAGCAATATTCTTTTGTAAGCCTTTTTGCTGTTTTTGCTTCATAGAAAGGTTAGTTCAGCAAGACCATTGTTGCAGAGTTTAGACAGATAACTGACTACAAGAACATGGGTTAGTTATTGCAGAAATAGTTATATATAGTTATGAACCACATTTTTTTCCTAATATACTTTTAAATTACAAAGAACGAGTACCTTCCTCTGCATCTGTATGCTTACTACTGATATGTGATGGCTACTAATTATATTCTGAACGATTTGTGGTCACATTCTGTTTGTGAATTTTTTCTTATTCCACTGAAATTATAGCTCGGAGTCATTCAGCTTTAGAGTTGAAAAATGTTTCTTGGAAAAGTTTAAATTTTATTTAACATTTAATTGATCCAAGTGTTAAACTGAATTTAAATTGTTCGAATTAGACTATGATTTTCAGCTTTTACTAGTATGCTCATAAGCACTTGTGAATTCACAGAGCACCAGATGTCTTGTGCCTTCTCTTAGGTGTCATAAGTGAACATGCATAGGTGTTGATTGTAGAGTTTTGTCTTTCTAAAGTTCTTTGGGTAATAAATCTTAATTGGTTAGCTTCATTTAACATTGCTAAATGTTTTACTTACCTACCAAGTAGTTTTAAGCTTTCCTTTTAATTCTTCTCAATACAATCATATAACACTTCTATTTTGTATGTGAGGGAAATCTAGTAAATAGATTAAATGACTTTCTCGAACTCTATAGTTTAATACCAAGTGTGATTTAAAAATTCCATAATCAAAATAAGGTCACTGTTGTATATCTTACAAGAGCAAACATTGTCTTGAGAGTGTAGGCAGAGGCTGCTCATTTGTTCCTGGCCACCGAGACCTGAAATACCACAAAGAAACTGTATTAAAACACTGCATGGCCAATCACTTAAGCATATTGCTAGCTAGCTCTTATATATCTTAAATTAACCCATTTCAATTAATCTTTGTATTGCCTGTGGTTGTGATCTACTGGTAAGGTTCTGTCCGGCCTCTGTCTCCCACAGCAGCTACATGGCTTCTCCCTCACTCCACCTACTCTCTCCATATGTCCCTTCCAGCCTGGCTTTACTCTGCTAAGCCATTGGCCAAAAGCAGCTTCTTTATTAACCAATGGCAATAAAACATACTCCCAGCATACATCACCTCCCACATCAGGTTATCTGAACTTACCCAGTAAAGCTGTCATGACAGAACACACGTGCAGCAAGAAGTCAGTAGTCATTGATTTTACTTAGAGTAAGCTTTTCCTCAGGGTGATGCAACACTATTGAACAACCTACACAGCGTGAGTGAAAACCATAGGTAGTCACTTAGCAACGTGGAAAATTGGCGTCTATAAAATATGAATTTGCACTTTGAGCTAGCCATTTGCATTTTATTTATTTTTTCTTAAGAACGGGTGTAGTAAAATTAGTCAAAGGCAAGGCCGGTTAATGTAAGGGTTTTTGTTTGTTTTTTGGTTTTGTTTGTAGGAAAATTTATTAAGAAGGTAGAGCACAAATAAAAATAAAAACATCTAAATAGTTGAATTTCATGGTTTGGAAAGAATGTCTATTATGAGCCTAATCATTTCTTCGCTTAGCACAAGAGCCTATCAGAGGAAATGAGGGAAGACTTCCTACGAGGGCTTGCATTTGCTTCTGGGGTTGGAGTTAATCTCTCCTTTCAAAGCCTTCTCCATGTGTTAAGGTCAGTATTTACAGTGAGCTTAGCTTGACCAGCAGGATGATTGTGGTGCCACACCCCTGGGCAGGGACCAGTGGTGCATCATGATCCATGAGTGTTTCTGGTATCTGACTGGTAATAAAAGGGTATTGGCAACAGCAACCTCCAAACTCTTGCTATCATTTGTTTTTCATGGGCCTTTGAAAAAAAAAAAAAACTTTTTCCTTGAAACCTGGATTGCTATAGAACCGGGGCTAACACCCTCATTTATAGTAGTTAAAAGTGTCACAGTAGCCATGTCCGCTCCATCTAACACTATTGAGTGAGTGAAGCTTGCAATAGAATTAAATACGTGGACTCCAAGGGTGGGAGTCCACACCTGGAGCACACAATGCCCTGGAGAGGTTTTCACTCCATGACTGCAGCTTCAGTGCACATCTCATAGTTCTGGCAGCTCCAGTACCCTATGATCTTCATTTCATATCCTCACACATTGCCCTTGGGGGGGGCGCCTTATTGCAAGGACATCAACTCTGCCACATAGCATAGCCTCAGCAGCTCTCTGGAGCCATAGTGAAAGACCATGGGTCCTCTCAATTCATCTATGCTTGTAAAACTTCCATTATGTGGATACTGTAGTCAGTTTCTGCTGCCAGCTCAGTATAGAGCCTAGCTTCTGTGGATCACAATTGCACAGCTTTCCCGTTGTACAGTAGTAGCATCAAGTGTGCCTTTAAGGACACTGATAATTAACAGCTGCTTTTTAACGTTGCCTTGCCTATAAAGTTAAGCTGACACTCCCTCACCAAACTGCACACTTCTTGCTCCTTGTAGACCTAGATCAAAACAAAAGTAGTAACCACATCACAATTTGACTACTATCCTGTCTTGAAATTTCTATTTCTTCCACCAAAATAATTACTCCTGTACTCCTGTATTCATCTTCATTAAAGTTTTTTTTTTTTTTTTTTTTTTTTTTTTTTTTTTGGTTTTTCAAGACAGGGTTTCTCTGTGGTTTTGGAGCCTGTCCTGAAACGAGCTCTTGTAGACCAGGCTGTATGACCTTGGCAGAATGCATTTTACAGAGAGAGTGGTCAAGATAGCACACAAATGGCATTTAGCGCCCCCCCCCCCCTTTTGTTTTTTGAGACAGGGTTTCTTTGTAGCTTTGGTTGGAGCCTGTCCTAGAACTAGCTCTTATAGACCAGGCTGGCCTCAAATTCACAGAAATCCACCTGTCTGTGCCACCATAGTGCTGGGGTTAAAGGCATGTGCCACCACCGCCCAGCTATATGGCCTTTAGCCCAATTTAAGTTGGAGTCCTTGATCTCTGAACCTTGATAAGCTGGGTCTCCACTGTCTGTTTCTTTTAACTTTTTGGTCTTCTAAACTCTAATCAGAATGGGCCATTAAGTAATGCAGACCATGGGAAGCCAGCTCCCAGGTCTGCTCCAGAAAGAGAAAACCTCAAAGTAGCAGGACTTAGAAAAAAATTCTTATCTGAAGCTTGCTACACTTCTCTATCTGAGGGGAAAATAAACAAGCACAGTTCCTGCTGCTAACCTAAGAAAAAGGGAACAAGCACATGTTTTTCTGATGGTAGCCTTTTTTACTTCAATTTAAATAATTACTTTCTTGACGATCTTCTTACATACATACACCTCTCTCAATTATTTCTTACAAAATCCTGTATCTGCCCCTGTTTGGCTGCCATATAAAGCTGACTTGTGGGGACCCAGCCTTCAGTCAGCACCAAGGTAAATAAGAAAATTCACAAATGCATTGAAGGTTAAGCTAAAGGTTAGACTTCCATCTGGGGGTTAAAAAGGAAACACAACTGCTTTCTCATAGTAACTTTCTCTTCAACTTAAAATGATCCTCTGGAAAAAAAAATCTTGCTCTCTCCTCTCTGCCCCGCTGATGCTGCCCTTTCATCACTGCTCCTTCACTCTCTGCCTGGCCACTCCTCTGCTGCCTCTGCTCTTCTCACAGCCAAACTCAGGATCACAATGACTGGCTAGTGAGCAACCATGGCTTTGCACATAGTTCTAAGTTGATGAGGGTTCCCAGACACTGAACAGTTGGCTGAACTTAAGATTGGGAGTATGTGCAAACTCTGATCTTGAGTCAATAAAACAACACCTGGGAAAATGACCTCATGAAATGCAGATCAAAGCAACTCTGAGAGTCTATCTTTCACCTGTATGAATGGCCAAATTCAAAAACACAGCTTATGCAGAAGAGGACATGGGTAAATGGAACACTCCTCCATTGCTACTGGGAGTGCACACTGATACAGTTGCTTTGAAACTCAGTATGGCAATTTCTCTGAAAATTAGGAAACAACCCCAGCATTACCACTTTTGGTTATATACTCAAAGGAGGCTCAATTATACCATAATGACATGTGCTCAGATATGTCCATAGCAGCACTATTTGTAATAGCCAGAAATTGGAAACAATCTAAATGTCCCTCAACTGACGAATGAATAAAGAAGGTATGGTCCATTTACACAATGGAGTATTACACAGAGGAAAAAAATAATGACATCTTGAAATTCACAAGCCAATGGATGGATCTAGAAAACAGCTTGAGTGAGTTAACCCAGACCAAAAAGTCAAATATAATATGTACTCACTCATAAAGGACTTTTAGACATAAAAACCAGCCTACAGTTCACAATCCCAGAGAACCTAGACAACTAAGATGACCCTAAAAAGAAATATATGGATCTAATCTACATGGGAAGTAGAAAAGACAAGACCTTATGAATAAATTGGGAGTATGGGAGAGGGTAGAAAGGGAGGGAACAGAATGGGAGGAAAGCAGAGAAAAATATATAGCTCAATAAAAACAAAAAATATGAAGTTTAGGCTTGGGGTCTTATAGTGTGCTTGGCTAGCATGTTCATGGCCTTTGGTGGGATCCTCCAGCAGTCCTTGCATACCAAGCAAAAATAAGAAAACTTTAAATTTGCATAAGCTAATTCAATGGAAAAGAAGTACAAGCTTTAATAACACAAAAGTGCTCGCCACATAGTAAGTTATTTAAGAATTGGAGAGAGAGAATGGAAAGCAGCACTTAGTTTGTACAGAAAAAGTAATTCCCAATATTTATTATGAGTTGACCCAAATTTTTTGCTTTCAAAAATTTCCGAACCAGTGTCTGCATTAAGTTGTGTAATATAACTTGAAGATACCCTGATATTGCTAATGGTTAATACTATGATACTATTAATACTAATAATGAATACTGAAGTAAGAACTAAGAAAAGTAATTGCCCAACCCATAAAATACACCAGCAACTCTAGAAGAAACAAAGTGTGAGGAACATGGTAAAAGTAAATAAATAGCAATGTGATCAAAATCTATTAAAAATTTCATGCAATGTAAGTGACCTAACATTCCAGTTAAGATTCAGAGGTTGTATGGATTTCAAAAATTACCTACACATATCATTTAATGACAAGGATATGTTTTGCCACATGCATAGATCCCCGAGTTTCTTAGTTACTATTCCTTTACTCTTAAGAGACACCACATTATTTAGGACTGAGTACTTCAAAGTCTCTCTCTCACTGTGAACAGTATTCAGCTGTGGGCCTCTGTCTTAATTCCTGTCTACTGCCAGGAGTGACTCTGATGTGGGTTGAGAGAGAAACTGATATCTGGGCGTAGCAGTATGTCATTAGGAATCATTTTATTGCTTTAACAGAAAAATAGTAATCAGTTTCCTTGTAGGACCATGACTTACCTAGTCTAAGGATTTTGGACACTGATGTGGGAGTGTCATATATCAATCTGTTGATTTCATTGGTTATGCAATAAAGAAACTGCTTGGCCCTCATAGGTTAAAACATAGGTGGGAGGAGTAAACAGAACAGAAGGCTGGGAAAAAGAAGCTGAGTCAGAGAGTTGCCATGATTCTCCCACTCCAGGCAGACGCAGGTTAAGATCATTCCTGGTAAGCCAGCTCGTGGGCTACACAGATTATAAGAAATGGGCTAGTCCAGGTGCGAGAGTTAGCCGAGAAAAGGCTAGATATAATGGGCCAAGCGGTGTTTAAAAGAATACAGTTTTCCGTGTAATTATTTTGGGGCATAAGCTAGAGCTAGCCATGTGGCCGGCCGGATGCCGGGGACGCAGCCCTGCCACTCCTATTTCAACAGGACACTTTAGCAGTGTCAGATATAGGCTCCATCTCATAGAGTGGGCCTTAAATCCAGTCAAATAATGATTGG